GAGTTTGACGCAATCTGGAATAGATTCAAAACCAGATTCAACTTTGTAGCTTCGAATCTTTAAGGGCTATATTTTGATGATGCTCAGATCATGTTTTCTGAAGCTGTGAAATTGACCTTGCTGAACATCAGAAGATCTCCAACACTGCTTCTGGAAAACGCACCACCCTCTGTTGAGTGTTCTTCCTCTGAAGTTCCTGCTACAATTCTTTCTGATGAAGTCATTCCAAAAGATTCTACTCATGATCTTGGAGAAATGCTTATCTCAAATCAGTATGCTCTGATGACTTTGGAAAAAACATCTAATTTAGTGATTCAAGAGAATGCATCTGCTATGGTCATTGACAATGCTCCTGCATCTGCATCTGTTTCAGAATCTTCTGAAGTCAAGAAAGAGGATCCAGATTTGAAAGAAAAGTTTGCTCAGCTGGAAGCGAGCAACACTGAGATCAGAACTTGGATGATGAAACAAGAAAAGACAATAGAGGAAATCAAAACATTGATGGCTAAGCAAGAAGAGTCTACCTCTGAGATAACTAGTCTTCTTAGAATTCTAGCCTCTCGTAACCCTTAGTCTTATGTTTGTGCACTTCTGTTTGCTTTGTTTATCTGTTTATACTCTGTATGTTTTTATCAATGAATGTGATTTTTTTGAGTTTTCCATCTGATGTTATATAATATGTTTATTATCTTTCTCTGATGTTTCCTTTATGTTTTAAATACTTTTTCTTTTTGATATGACAAAAAGGGGGAGAAAATGGAAATTCTAATTGTTCACATAAACAGTTCCTAAAAGGCAACTCACACATGATAAATTAATCTAATCATATTTTTGAGTGTTTCAGAGCTAATAATTCTCTTCTGATGAAATTCTAAGAATTAACTCTGAACCAAGTCTGAGAATATCCTCAAGTACGCTATGACGCTGAAAAGAATACAAATGCCAAAAAGGGAAGTATTTACTCTTTTTATAAGTATTCAGTTCAGGGGGGAGATTATTATTCTCAGAGGGAGTTATATATTTAGACTTTGAACAAAATTTCCCATAGTTTTTATCATCATCTAAAAGGGGGAGATTGTTAGAACACAGATTGGTGTTTAATATATCTCAATGTTTTGATGATAACACTAATGAAATTTTGTATGAAGTAAATATATACTCTAATTTTGTTCAAGTGTTTTTGTTTCAGATATTTAATTTAATATTCCTCTGGAAGCAAAAATACATCTGAACTCTATTCAAAGCAAGTATTTGAACGTCAGAAGCAACGCTACAGAAGACTCTGAGCGAAGCTGCAGAAGACTCTGAAGCGAAGCTGAGAAGAATCTGAGCAAAACTGCAGAAGACTCTGAAGTACTTAACGCTGCAAGTACAGAGGCTCTGATTATCAAGTTTGCTCTGATCTGATTTACACGCTAAGCATTATTGCTGCAAGACTCTGATGTCATCAACTCTGATGAAGATACTTTGATAAAGAAACTTGTTGAAGAAGATGTTGTTCAAATAAAGATATGTTGCCATATTCCTTATCCTTCCAACGACTCTTTCCTCTTTTGTGTATAGCACAGGAAATCAGACAAAAAGGATTTGTCTGAACATTCCTCTTCTGGGAAAGGAAAAGTAAAGTAGGACAAAAGGCTACAGCTACACAGCAATGCACGATCTTCAAGCATGTACCTCAAGTACTATAAAAGCAAGTCTTCAACAACATATCAAAGTTGACGAAATACTGAACAAATTATTCAACAACTCATCATACAATCATTCTCAAAGCTGAATAGTTTATACTTTCGTTCTTAACTTGTGTAAAACATCACTGTTGTGATTATAGCTTTTTAGAAGCATTCAAACACAAACATTTGTATTACTTTGTAATAGTTCCTTAAGAAGACCAAGTTGTGGTCAGAATTTCTTGAGAAGACTAAGACGGGTAGTCTTAGTGGTTGACACCGTAATCAGTTTGATTTAGTGGATTAAGCCCTTTATTGAGAAAGGCAAAATCACCTTAGTATGGTGTACTGGATTAGTTTGAGTTCAAACGAACCGGTATAAAAACAACTTGTTATTTTCTCTATCTCTCAAATTGTTTTTGAAACCCTTATTCAACCCCCCCCCCCCCCCTCTAAGTGTTTTTCCCACCTTCATGTTTGAAAACCGTGAGAGAGACGCGTGAGAGCTCCACGTATAAGATGATGGACCGGACCTTCATTGGGCCCTTCCCGACGAGGAGTTGGGTTGGACTATGTCCGACGGTAGGTCAACCTCTGACCCAATCCAGAAAATAAAAAAAAAAAAAAATATATATATATATATATATATATATATATATATATATATATATATATATATATATATATATATATATATATATATATATATATATATATATATATATATATATATATATATATATTTATCCCATTTTTTAATTTTAATTAGTAAATTCATTATTATTAACTTCATTACCTAACTTTTTTTAATTTCAATTAATAAAGTGTTACCTATTTAGTTTTATTTTTAAATTTTTTTTAATCAAAATTAATTTTTTATTTTTTGTTTTTTATATTTATTAAATTTTATTATTTATTCGGTAAAACTAACTTTCTATCACTAACTTTTTTTAATTGATAAAAATTGTTTACAAATTCTGAGTTATTAATTTTTGATAGTAACATCTCCCTCGGATTAGAAGAACTATCTTTTTTTTTTAAAAATCTATGATTTCTATTTTATTTTCATATGTTTTAATTTTATTTTTGTTTACTAATCTTTATTTTCTCTTCGTATGTTTTTATTTTATTTTTGTTAACTAATTTTTAGTTATATATTTTTTTCATGTAGATTTGAAGTATCACAAAAAGGTTTTCAACAGTAGGTTAGATAACAAATTATAGATGACACTGCTTACCGTTGAATTCTCTTCTTTATTTTCTGATTTTATTTCTCATCCAAATATTTAAAGAAATAATGACTATAAATTTATGGTTTTAGTTTCTCTCACTTAGTTATGATTTCTTCCGTACACTTTGAAACATCACAAAATAAAATTAAAGGGTATATTAAAATTATCTTCCTTCTTAAATTTATAGTTTTTTTTTTAAAGTTGTCGTCTTCCTAATTTTATTATTATTTTCTAACTCTTTATTATGTTTTTTTTATATTTTTTGAAGTATCATAAAATAATATCAAAGAGGTTAAATTGTAAAATAGGGCGAATAAAAAGAAATATCTTCATTTCTAAATATATATTATTTATTTATTTTTTGAGTTAAAAATGTTGAAGAATTTGAATAGTATAATATAGGAATTTAACACATGAATTGAAGTATTTCTCTAAATTTAATTATTATCATTATTAACATTCAAATAACATAACCGTGCATATATATATATATATATATATATATATATATATATATATATATATATATATATATATATATATATATATATATATATATATATATATATATATATATATATATATATATATATATATATATATATATATATATATATATATATATATATATATATATATATATATATATATATATATATATATATATATATATATATATTCTAAGAGTAAGTTTTTATACCTTATTCAACAATCATAATCTTTAAATTAAATTTAATCGAATGGTTATAAGTAAAAATGTTAATTTAACCACGAGATTATATTTGGAATAAGTTAAAAAAACTTATATTTGAAAAGTTGATCTCCATCATATATATAATTCTCATCTTCCCTCCCCTTCATTAAAATTCCTCGCCTCTAAGGGTGTTTGCGGGCTAAACTGGTTCAATTTTGAGTGAATCTGATGCCCAAACCTCCCCTTCATTAAAATTCCTCGTCTCTAAGGGTGTTTGCGGGTTGAACTGGTTCAATTTTGAGTGAATTTGATGCCCAAACCGATCAAAAATATATCAACTTAAAAATAGCGGATTGATCGAATATATTAGAAACAAATATACAAAAATATTTTTAAAATTTTTAAATTTCCATCAAATAATTTTCTAGAATAATATAATTTTTTTTCTTCGTTTTTTCATCTAGATTGTGAATGTCACAAATGATGTTTCATTTTTATATTTTTCGGATAGACAGACTGAAAATCCGTTACACGAACCAATTATTATCGGTTGGTTTGATTTTTTTCTCGAACTAAAAAAAATCAACCCAAACACCATAGTTTGATTTAGATTTCAATTTGGTTCGGATTTGGCCGAACTAAATGAAACCCCTCCTCGCCTCGTTAATAGTTGGACTATCTGAATATTGGTTCCAAAATTTAAAGAAACATCATTTATAATGACTCCTATTTGAGGAGGCACTAAAGATTGATTCAGGAATGGTTTGTTTCCCGTGAACATTATTCCATTGATGCAATTAAGTTAATAAAAAATAATTGGAAAGTGAGCTAGTGAAATAACTGCATATATCAAGCAATCATGTACTGAGGCACCGTGCAGGAAAAGAATTATGAATACCCTGCAATGACATCGATAAAAACAAAAGCCAGTATTGCAGGCTTCACCAGAGACTAGAAAAGTTTGTTTCAATTATTAATAAATAGAATAACACAAATAAATACATCAAGGAAGTGTCCAACCGACAACTATCCTGATTACAAATATCCTAAATAATGAAAATCAAGGAAGTGTCCAACCGACAACTATCCTGATTACAAATATCCTAAATAATGAAATTACAAAGATCATGAAACAAGCAAATTACAACCATCCCAAACTGTGTGCAACACAATAATGTTTTACCCAACCAAAAGTAAAAACTGGCATAGGAATCATAACATCTATGGGGTCGTCTTTCAGACTAACTGAACAGGCTTGGAATATGAGGCACTCAAAACAGACTTAACCTTTATTATATTTATGCTGGATAGAACAAATGTGGACTTAAGGCAAGAAAGCAAATAAACAAATCCGGCGCTGATTGAGCAAAACAGACTAAGGTGGTGTGTGAACTTGTTTGATCATCAATTACCAGCATCTCTGCTGTAAAACTGGTCGAGAGTCTTGGCTGGAATACGATGAAGAAGTTCACGTGGGAAAATCCGAAGTAAAGTCCACGCAAGATCTAAAGACTGGAATATATTGCGGGTGTCATAGGCTCCCTGGGCGACAAACTTCCTCTCAAACTTGTCCAGAAATTCCAGATACAACTGTCAATAAAATAGGGAGAAATAAGTTTCATTAATAACACTTCGAGGACATTTTCACTCGGTAGGACAAAATATCTCTAGATAGAAAGTAGATACCAAGTCCTCAGATGAAAGTGCTTCTTCTCCGACAACAGCTTTCATTGCCTGGACATCCTTTCCAATGGCATAATTTGCATAGAGCTGAACAGAAATGAAATAACATCAATAAGATAGTTTACATGATAAAAGAGAAAACTGCAGAATGAACAAACAAGAAAGAACCTGGTTAGACACATCAGAATGATCCTTTCTAGTCATTCCCTCCCCAATAGCACTCTGCAGTGGTGACCAAGGATACATTATTAGTATGTGAACCACACGCCTTTTGATTAAGAAACATATATCTACCACTTGACAGAAACTTGATATTATATAAGTTTAGTTTTACCTTCATCAACCGAGATAGTGATGGAAGGACATTGATCGGTGGGTATATCTGTTTAGAAAGAAAAAAATAATAATGCTTAGAATGTTTACCAGATAACCTCGACAGATCTTATACATCAGGGATCATACATTGTAAGGTATTCAGCCTTGATATATCGATGAAAATTGAAATCAAACATTTCAAACAATTTGATAAAGCCAAGAAAAGACAGAATTGAAAAATTGATGAACAAACCAGACCAAACTTTTCAGAGATTACTAATTCCCATTATATAACACAAGCCACCATTTAACTGCTTTTAAATCAATATAATATATCAAACTATATTAAATATTACTCCCTCCGTTTAAGATTTTTACACACAGATTAAAGAATGTAATCATATTGTCATAAGATATTGCACTTTTACTAAATTAGTATTATTAATATGTTGGAAATAGTGTACAGAGTAATAATTATGACACAATTGGAAAAATAGCAATTATTACTACATTAAAAAGTGAGAATGACATTCATTTTGAAACAAATTTTTTTTCCTAAAAGGACAGTCATTTTGAAACGGAGGGAGTATGATGCACTCTGCACCAAATTATCTTGTAATTAATACATTAACTAATTCATCATAGCAGAAAGCTTCACCATTACCCACCTGTCTATTATGCAACTGCCTATCAATGTATATCTGCCCCTCGGTAATATATCCGGTAAGATCAGGAGTTGGATGTGTAATATCTATACAACAGAAGTACAAGAAAATGATCATTCAGCATTGCGATTTGAGAATATTTTATCCAAAATAAAAGAGAAACGTTTACTTCATTACCATCATTAGGCATGGTTAGAATTGGAATTTGGGTAATAGATCCTTTACGCCCCTCAATTCTACCGGCACGTTCATAAATTGTTGCAAGATCTGTATACATATAACCAGGATAACCACGTCTTCCGGGCACCTCTTCTCGGGCAGCAGATACCTGTAGGATCAAGAACGGGCAGTGATTAATAGCTTGTATCTGCACTTGTTTTGAGAAAAAAACTAAATATTTTTTAGTAACTTATACTACAAGAATAAGTGAAATAATTGAAGTAGGAAAATTTAATTATCATTTAATCCCCGGAAGAAAAAAAATACAGGAGAATTGTAAAAGCAGTAAAAGGTTCCTCTCCTTTCTTAATAAATTACAGCTGAAGGTACATTACCTCACGAAGAGCATCAGCATAAGAACTCATATCTGTGAGTATCACGAGAACATGCTTGCCACATTCATAAGCCAAATATTCAGCAGTAGTAAGAGCAATACGAGGGGTGATAATACGCTCAATTGTAGGATCATTTGCCTACAGTAAATCCCAGTAGCAGTAGAACAGACGTGTTAGAAACAGGTTAAGAAATAAAATTTTCAAAATTATCAGTAGATATCTCATTAAAAAATAATGAGGGGAAAAGAACATAATTCTTCATGTATCGCATTGTGTTCCTCAAAAGCAATATGTTGACCCATTTAACATAAAAACTAAAGCTGTGTATAATTTTAATAACAAAAGCTACCATACCAAAATATCATTTAAAAGCTTTAATCTCCATCCACCAGTACGTGTTAGAAAATTTTACATTTTTTTTTCTAAAATTTACATGTGTTTATTTTGTTTAATGTGCCAAATACTAGTTCTACATTTATGATAAACATATTACCACAACATAGATGTCGATTGATCTATATGTTAGATTTAAATACAGAGAACAAATTGCTTATCTAAAAATAAATAAAAAATAAAAACAGAAAACAAAATGTAATAAGTTTTTGTTAGTCCCCAATCCCCAAAGAAAATGAACAATCAAATAAAAGGTTACACTAGAAGTTAATTCCAAGCATTATTAAGAAATTTACTGAAATGAAAATCATAAAACAAAATCACCAGAATAAGGAAAAATAAAGAACATGAGCATACTGATTTTAAAGATTACCAAGTTAAGGAAAAGAGTCACTCTCTCCATTGAGCCATTCTCCTCAAAGTCACGCTTGAAAAATTGTGCAGTCTCCATGTTAACTCCCATAGCTGCAAAAACAATGGCAAAATTGTCGTCTTCTCCTCCTCCCTGCATAAATAAAGATTTGTAAGAAAAGCCATATTATTCCAATTACTTGAAGTATAAAAGTAATAAGTTTTAGTAAATGACTGCAAAAATAGCCTTCTTATTCCAAGGCAAAGGCAACGAGAAGTAATATAAGTGAGGATACTTCAAATTATTCATGTCAGTTTCTTCATAACAGTTGTTGGAAATAGTGATAATGATTAATATGCCAATGGGAGTAATAGGTGTTAATAGTATATATGTTTGTCTTATGTTTTCGCCTTGCATTGTGTTCGTTTTATGGTTTGACTATTTTTGTATAGGTGATTTTACTTTTAATTATCCTTCAGCGCTGTCACTTTCATCGGATGATTTTACTATTGATCTTCCTTCAGCGCTATCACTTCTATAGGATGATTTTACTTATAATCTTCCTGCGCTGTCCTGTCACTTCTATCAGATGATACCTTAGCCCCTTTTTAATTCCCTTTCCTATCTTATAATATTTCTTTTCCTATCCATCATCACAACATCATCAATAAGGAAAATTCAAATGAAACACAAATCACAATCAATTTCCAAAAGTCATAACTCGAGCATTTAAGATATTTGGGAAGGTTCCTTTAGTAATTTATCTTATACCTCAAGAAGATTATCAGACTTCTCTAATCGCTTGACTAAGCCAGCTTGACGACAAATCTGAGCAGCAATTTCATTATGGGGGAGACCGGCAGCTGAAAATAGAGGGATCTTTTGACCTCTAGCAATAGAATTCATGACGTCAATTGTAGATATTCCTGTCTGTATCATCTCCTCGGGATAGGTTCTCTCACTAGGATTGATGGAACTTCCTGAATAATTAGAAAGATATTAGAAGGGGGAAAAATCAGACATCAACAAACATGCAGTAGAAGCACACAGCAGAAGTTAAATACCTGATATATCCAAGTAAGCCTCAGGTAGAATTGGCGGACCGTTATCAATTGGTTTTCCAGAACCGTTAAATATCCTCCCAAGCATGTCAAGTGATACAGGAGTTTTTAACACCTACAGATATAAACAAGAGAGATACAGAGAAAGTCAGAGGTGGAATGAACTGATTCCGTTACAGTCAAAGTAACATTTTAAAGAAAGTCAAGCAAAAAAATTTAAAGAAAGACCATTTATTTCAATTCAATAACCAAGACTTGGCTAAATTGCAGAAACGGAGGATGGGCTAAATCACGTGAAGTTAATCACCTTAGGAATTCCCCCTCCAGAACAAATAAATAGAATGGTAATCAGCAGTGAACCTGTGGTTACTACAATTTCAATTCACTATTTTCTAAGCAGGATTCAGTTTCCAGTTTCTACAATTTCAAGGTTTGCGTGTATTTTATCATGAAATCAAAGTACTCATTTTCTCCACTGCGAAACTTCAAATTAACAGGAAAAAACAAATGCATAAGCAAAATTTATCCATTAATCACAACACTATGTAACATAGTCTGAATGGGGACAACAACAGCTTTGGCAAGCTTAGGGGATAGTTATAATTGGATTTCTATTCTCTGTCATTCTCTGGGATGGTTTAGTAGATAGCAGTTTAAAAGGATAGCCAACCATTGGCTCAATAATGTGTTTTCTATTGACAAAGCAAAATATAACCCACAAACTAACAGTTAATACATTATTTAGGTCCTGCAGAATCCAAATATCATCGTGATAAGACACTATACAGCAGATATTTTCATGGGAAGAAATCGATAAAATTTTGCATTCATTATTTTACATGTATATTTTAACGTTGAACATAGAGTGAGAGAATTGTAATAAGCTAGAGCTTGTACCTCTCCAGTAAACTGCACAGTTGTAAATTTATTGTCAATCCCAGAAGTACCTTCAAATACCTGATCAATAGTTTTAAAAAAAAAAGTTAATAAACTACAAAATGCTGTAAACGATCCTAGCATAGGAAAACTAGACGACGACAACAACAACAAAGCTTTTTCCCACTGAGTGAGAGCAGTAAAACTAGACAATGGAATAAAAAGTACGCTAAAAAAACCACAGCTACAAGAACGCTAATACTACTCAGAAGCTCATAACATTTTGGTTATTATAATGAATTAAGAACAAACATGGAAATCTTAATTAACTCAAAGATAAGAGGCAAAGGATGGACGATGGTTATGTATGCTGAAGGTTTCTCACCTGAACAACAGCCTTTTCACCATCAACCTCAAGAACTTGTCCACGTCTGGTAGTTCCATCTCCTAGACGAATATTGACAATCTCTTGATATTTAGGTCCCTAATGCAGTTGACAAAAGTAAAATTTAGTCACACCATACAGAAATCAGTCACATTAAGAACATCAAAAGATCAGAATATTCAATAAGAATATCAGCAAGCATATTGTCAATGTTACCTTAACTTTCTCGAGAATGACCAATGGTCCAGCAACTCCAGATACAGTTCTGTATTCTGCAACATCAATGAACAGAAATAATTTACAGTGAAACTAAATAATAACATTGAATACTGTGAATTACCAATGCTTATTGATAAATCCATCAGCCTTGCTTGTAAAATGTTTTTTTTTCATGCATGGAGAAATTCATATCCTTTTATGAATTTACCAATGTCAGCCTCAGGGAATCAGATCCCAAATTAAACGATAAACCAAATAGATGCATACCCATTCCTATCTCCAAAGTGCCATCGTCAACGTCGTTAGCATCTTTAGCCGCACCCATCTTTGAACTTTAAAGAATCAAACAAAACATAAGTACAAGAGTCAATACATGCCAAATTAAAAACACAAATAAGGAGCACGACTAAAGCAGCACAGATTCTACCAATCACGGGATGCACGACACTTAATTAATAGGAAACGACTAAAGCAGCAGCACAGATTCTACCAATCACGGGATGCACGACACTTAATTAATAGGAAACGACTAAAGCAGCACAGATTCTACCAATCAAGGTATGTCGGGATGCACGGGATGCACAAGAATGAAGATGATGAGGGAGAAGAATGGTTATGATGATGGTGGAAAGTTGCAGAGAGAAGAATCGTTAATGGAGAAGGAATAGTATCGAGTAAGGAGTAAATATGCAGCCGTCTTTTGGTGTTTTAGGGTTAGGTCTGACAACTTAATTAAAAAACTGAGTTCACTTTAAAAAAACGACCTGGCAAAAAAGCCCAACAAAACAGGCCCAGACACCCAGCACTATATTTTTTAAGATCTTACTATGGAAAACTCAATCTTGACCACAAAGATACACAAAAAAAGTATTTTTTTTAAGATAGTAGCACTAAAAGGTAAATTTGGCACGTAAGATCTTACGATCCAGCACTCGATCTTGACTACCTTGCCACCAATAATTAAGACAGAGCAAACAACAACAAAATTAAAAGAACAAAAAAAAAACCTAGTACAATGAAAAAAGAATAAACTCTTAATCATAGAGTAGTTCTTCAAATTATCATTGCAGTAATTTTCAAAGCTTTTGTCACAGTCAGTGTCTGATTCCACAGTAAACAAATACAATCTCAAACAAAATTGATTCGATAAAAATATTCGGCTTAAATTCGAGTTTAAAATGGAGTGATTAAGCCGAGCATAAAAGCTCGTTTTGATCAATTCAATTCAAAATTAAAATCACATTAGAACGAATCAAAATCAAATCTGACAGTCTCCACAGTGAATCCAAACTCAAATTAAATCATTTTCTCAAATCTTTCAAAGAAAAACACAATCAAATAATAACGTAGTGAAGCATAAATTTCAATGAACTGATTCGGCGATTCACTCAACAAAAACGATTCATGTATAATCTAACTAAAGCCATACAAATTACACTTAAGTATACGTAAAAACATAAATCTGGCTTGATCCAGTTCCAATACAACTAATACTGAACTCAGAAAATCGAAATTACATAAACAGAATTCACAAACAACGACGATAACAATAATCTTCAGAATTGAAGGTACTAGCGTGATAACAGTAGTTAAGAGATCGAAGTGTGAGTTAGTTTCATTACTGAATGAGATTTGGCGAAAACGGTGAATCAATGAGATCGAGAAACGAAGAATTCGATGAAAATTTTGAGATCAAAGTGAAAGAAAATGGAATCGAAAAATGGATCCGAAGAGAAAACGACGTACCTGTGAATTTCGATTTTTCTGATCAGAGGGAGATGGGAAACGTGGGTGAGACACAGTGGGAGGGGAAAATGAATCTAATGGACCAAAAAATTTAACAAAACGAAATGGAAAATAATCAAGTTTTTATTTTTTTATTTTATTTTTTTTATGTAAAATTGTCTCAATTTTTAATGGATCTAATTGACCAAAGTAACTGTGTTTTTTTCTTTTCTAGTTCTAGGCTGAGAAAGTAAAAGAAAAGTGAAATTGGATCCATAACCATCTGCCAGGTGTCACGGGCAACATTAAATTATTTTAGAAGAATTTTTTTTGGTAAAAAATATATTAAAAGAAAACTAGTTACAAAGATATAAAAATTAAGGGGACCATATCAAAATCCCTCTATGAAAAACTCTATAATAAGAAAGATCAATGGTGTTTTTAGCAAATGCTATGAGAATATTTCTATAAATCACTTTCCACTAAATGAAGTTTTATACATTTAAAGTAATGTTAGTTAATCTATCTTCCTGAAAATATAGGTGGCCAAAAAATTCATAGAACTAGTAATATGTAAAGCATTCGTTCATATGTTCTATATTATGTAAAGAACCATAAAAGGTTTTCTAAAAGATAAAATGACTAACTTAGAATCATATTATAACCAAAGGCTAAAGTAGTTTCTATTCTTTACAATTTCAATGGCAATCATGGCTCCAATCAGTTCTGCAACAAAAGCATTGTTTGGACCAATCTTCACGGAGAAACTTCCAAAGTAATTAGCACAATAATTCTAAATATCTTACCTCATATAATACTTGGTACCCCAACAGAAGTGTCGTCCACGTAGTATTTTACATTATACCAAAAAAGACATATAACCTAAAGTGGCGCTGCTGTAGATAAAAGCAACGCTTTTTTAAGGCAAAAGCACTGATATAGGTCCTTTTTAACTGCGCTTTTTCTAGAAAAACACTTTTTTTTCCTCCCCTTTCTATATGTCATTGGATTTTTTTTCAAAAGCACTTTTTTAGAAAGCGTTTTTTTGGTAAAAGCGCTGTTTATTATGCATATTTTTATGAAGTGTTTTTTGTTAAATGCTGTTGTACAATTCTTTATAATTTATCACATAAACCTGCATATAACAATTATATTCAACACAAGCCTTTATTTCAACACTTAGGGCTTATATATACCATAACAATTCAACACATAAACATGCTTATAATCATTGTAATTCAATACAAGCATTTATTTCAACACATAGGCCTTATATATATTATAATTCGACAGAAACGATCCATACTTCTAAAATATGTTCCAAAACCGATAACTTCACAAATATATTGACTATACATATAATTACAAATTCCATATTTCCGGATCCTCACAACAACTTCTAGAAGTATATCAATAAATTCCAAAACTATATACGACTTTCAGAACTATAATTATCTAGTAGTATGTACAGAACATCACAACAACACAAATCTCTAAAGACCATAAACTCAGATCAAAAGACAGAAAGACAATATACCTTATACAATTCTCATCTCAAGAATGTATTGACACCATTCCTCCTTAATTTCTTTCAATTTATCTTTCGAGTAAGTACCACACTTGAATTCATCAAAGTACTACATAATATAACATAATATGCATGATTTAGTTAAAGCTAATTACTCAGATGAAATATCAGTTAAATATTAAAATAAATCATATAACTTATAATTCCATACCATGTTTAGAATCTCTATTTGACCCGAATGAATAATTTCCTTCATAAACCTCAATACAAAATAACTACAATCAATACCATTGCGCTGACGAGGACACTGCACATGAAAAAAATACAAATATATATCAGGATATATAGTTTAACTAGTTTTATCAAGTAGCATCACTATAACAATCAAAATTGTGAAAATATACCTGCACTTTGATCCATCTAATGTTGTTAGCCTTACTCTTTGGTACTCTTGCTTGTCTTTGTGATCGGAATATTTGTATAGCTCTAACATAATATAAACGAATATTTAGAACAATCTCACATAATAAATAAAGGTATAAACGAATTATTCAGAACAATCTCATCACTTACGTATCAACCATCTTCTCCATATCTGGATATTTTGTTTGATCACCATCCAATAAATCCAGATAATACACTATTTTTTTTATCAGATTAATCGCAACTAACAACCAGTGTCCACTGTAAAATAAGACAAAATTTTAGATGGAAATGTTATATAGAATGTCAAAAAACGAATAATTATAATAAATGAAATTAGAATGAAATCTAACCCATGTCCAGTATTATATGGCAAAAAATACAACTTTTTTGCATCTGTGGCCATAAACGCTTGGACTAAGTAATCTCTGACTATATCTGGAATGTGATCGATTAATCGTGCGTTGATACAGCTAGAAGATAAGAATGAGAATCTTTCTATCAATTGATGTGGGACCAACAACTTGTCATACAAGAACCTTAAATAAAAACATAATCAACATTAGAATATTCATTGAAATGAGCAAATAAATTGTTCAATTATTTAATTAAAATTGATCGGAGTACCTGATGTATGAATGCATAACACCGATGCCTAATTCAGAATGTTGGAAAATCTGATCCAAATCCTCTTTAGCAATTGTTTCGGCATAAGCAAAATCGAAAATACCTTCCTCCATAGGTATTTGACGAATGCCACCTTTCACCACATTTGTTGTTCCTACATATGTTTCAAGGCATAACCTAAATCGAGGAACAAATGCTTTTTTAGGCTCGGTCTTTTTTTTGTTGGACACCTTGCTAGATTCAGACATCTTACCCTTACTGACTTGTTGCAACTCTTGAGCATGAATCTAAAAATCATATAAGTTAGGTAACTAATGTATAATGTCATAAAGTTATTGAAATCGGAGGATATAATTGACATTTTCTATGCATATATATATATATATATATATATATATATATATATATATATATATATATATATATATATATATATATATATATATATATATATATATATATATATATATATATATATATATATATATATATATATATATCAATTAATGTACCTGTTTTTTTGATGCAGCTGACTCGGTTTCCCGCATAATCCCCTTATCTTTTGATTTGGATTTTGTAGGAGTCTACGATTATCATGTAAGTAAATGGTACGTAAATGTAAGAATAACTTACATATATGGATCGTAAAATATTTGAATACTAAAATGTTCATAATGGTGTTCAATGTACCTCATTATCTATGAAAATGATATTTGACGGTCATGCAACATACGATCCTATTGCGTCTCCCACCAAATGTTGCATCCGAAACATTGTCTGGTATAGGAAATAACGCATCCCCCTCTAAAGCAATATCAATCGATACTTTCAAAAATCCAGCAGGAAACGGTTTATGGTGAAGTAACTCTCCCAAAGTGTTATGCACTTTTCCCTTGCCAACCATGCGATAAGTCGATGACGATAAATAGAGTTGACAAAGTGAAATGCCCAAAACCAATAATGAATATGATTAATGTGTATATATGTCAATTAAGAAAATTGTACAAAATTAATTTCAATGT